ACATTGAAATGACGTTCGAAGACAGAACGTCTAAGAAGTATAAGATATAAGGCCTATATAAGGTGCTATTTGGCTATGATACAAGACGTGACGACAAAGTTATGTTAGACTAACAGGGTAACGGACTAGAAAAATCTAAATTGATTAAAAATTCTTGTTGTTGGATTGTTTAAGTTTTTCATTAATAAATCTGAAGAAAGTTTTAGTTGGGTTGATAAAAATTTTACTTATGTCGTATTCTTTATTCGCGACAATATATAAAAATATTATTCTACCTGCGAATTGTGCATAAGTTGACTTTACACTGTATTTTAACTAAGGGCCGTTAAGTCGTATTTCAACTAATCAGGTGAACTATGGACAATACTATTCTCATTCAAAATGCCAACCATTTATTGATATTGTGTAATAAAATACCAAAAAAATATATAAAAAGAGCTACAAACGAAGCGCACTTTATGGAAATTTTAATTCTCTAGGCGACCCTGTACCGAGTGATTTACTGTAGTGACACATTTTTTTCTATTTCAGCGCCGTGTTTATTCACGTTATTATCAGTTTGTGACATCACACCTCCAAAACAAATGAACTGATAATGACCTAGTTTATGATGACCTTTTAGATCGCTATCATAGTTATTTATGTCGCAAAAATAAAACAAATGTTTCATTAATATATAAAACTATGAATGAAATAATACTTGGTTGATTAATAGTAGTAAAGGCTCAGTTGTTTGCAAGTTCAAAATATGCTTTTTATGTGTCCTGGGTTCAAATCTTATTAAAACACTATCAATTATTTGGGAAAAGCAAATAAAGCTGATAACTTTGTGACGGACATATAAATGTGCTTGATTAGAATACAACATAAAAATAGTTTCGCAATTTTATGCATTTTATCGTAGAAAAAAAAACAATGATATTATGACGAATCTGAAACCTTGTCTGTAATTATAAACCAAAGTCTTTGTTCCTAGCAATTCTGTAGATCTAGACCACAAACCGCATTTCTTGTAAGTTATTCTGAAATTGGGTCAGTTGCTTGAGTACGGAAGGAAATTAATTATTTTTGATTATTTTCTTTAGATTACACGAGTAGTACACATTTAAATAAAACAATTTTGACGGTTTATCACGCCTTTTAGTTTATTTTAACTACAGCGGCTTAACTGCTCTTCTTATATATATAAGATAATAAAAATAATAAATAAAACATCATACCTCAAAATGTTTATGTTGATAATATTGCGGGAGACGTTAACAATGGGTTGAAAAGACAGCACGGAACGCCATAGATGTCGATTCAAGTCCCGCCCGTGTCGTCAAACTACAATATAAATCTATCAGTATTTAACCCGGTTTAGTATTATTAAGGAGAGGTCTTGGATTTTAAACACAAGACATAAGCATAAACAAGTACTTGCATATAAAGTTGATTGTTAAACGGACAGACAAATGGGTCCGCTCAATACCCTACATGGGAAATCCTCTTTGAGGCTTTTTATATCTTCTTTGAGATTTTTTATGAGATAGACAATCACTAATAACTTAATGTATTTTGACTTTGGATATTCGGATAATACGGATAATACACAATTTGTATACATAATTTGTACAGTACCATTATTTATCTGATTCATGATATAGTAAGTAACAACTTAGAGAAAAATATTTATGTTATATTTATTACTAGTTCAAATCTTACGGCTTCGTTCAAAGAAAATTAATCTAGGAAATCCAACCGTGGCAGGTAGACAGAGAAAAAAACAAACAAACGTGGAAACAATTAGCTTTATCACATAATTAATTCGCATTGTGTCGTGTGCTCAAGACTCAATCGCAACGAGTGTCGCATACTGTATCGCTATTCGGTTTTTATGAAATAGGACAGCCAAGCTTTAGGTTCACGCTGGTGTGCTGTCGACCTATGTTAGCCTTGGTTATATAAATCCACAGACTGACACCGAAACGCGATTGCAGATGGATAGGTAGGTCGTTTGAGGACCCACTTGATCAACATTCGATTCGATAGGAAATACAAAAAATCTCTATATTTTTTCTCGTCGGCAAGTTAGTTCAATATAAATACTACTTACGTAAATAAAATTAATTTTAGCTAAATTTGCAATTAAATTTAAAATGGTCTCAAGTCACGTACTTGAAGTACAATATTAAAATTAAATTAAAGCATTAAATTTGTTCTGTTTTGCATTTGAATGATAATTACTTGAATAACTTATGTGATGTAATAAGTTTCACTTTTATATAATATACTTTTAAAATGGTATTTACAGTTAATTACAGCTCTAGTATATAAAGGTCTTACAGGATCAAGAATACAAAGTAAACTTATATCCAAAGACATTGATATAAAGTAATAGAAATAAATAAAAGAAAATAAAAATTCTTATTTCTACCAAAATACATAAATACAAAATACACGAACGTACGAATCATTACGATTTATATATTGGCGTACTTACTAAAGCATTAGGATGTTCTCATCATCATCAATAGATTAAAAAAATACAGACGAGGTAAGCATGTAATTTCTTCGATGCAAAATTGAATCATCAGGCAAAAATAATATCGGATGACCTACAATTTTAGTCTGAACTATATTTGCTGTAAAACTAACCGTTTAGCTGAAAAACACAAAAAACCTATATATAGGTATATTTTCATACATTCAATTCAAAATAAATTGCACATTGGGGATGATTGGGACTTTTCACAAATCTATACTAATAAAGCTGACAAATCTTTGTTTGTTTGAATACGCTAATATCAAAAATTACTAGTTCGAATTGAAAAGTTCTTTTTGTGTTAATTAGAGCATTTATTGAGGAAGGCTTTAGGGTAAAAACATCGCGCTGTGACTATTAGACGCAAAGAAACAGCGGGAAATGTGAACAAAACGGGAAATTGTCTTCTCTGTGGGTTTCTGACGCTGTTAAAACGGAACAAGACACAAAAAATATGTATATTTAGATAGTCTGACAAAATGTCCGCGACACTATATGTCCATCTTTTAAGATTAACTTATAAGAACGACGGAACGCGGCCGATGTCGTGAGCAGCTTTAATTTACAAAGATAGTAGTATAGGGTTGCAAAAAAAAAATTTGGATGGCTAACAGAACTATTCTAAGCGGACGAATTCGCTAACGCAGCTAGTCAATTATAATAGTGTTCTGAACATTCATACCAATTTTAAGTTCTATGGAAATTACTGTTAGCTTCAAAGTCTAATTTGACTGGACTATAAGGGTAATGTTCAAAAGGGCTGGACTACTTTTGATGGGAATTGCACAGAGACACTAGACAATATAACGATGTTGGCAATAGCATAGTTCGCCATGGGCACTTGGTTTCGAAACGCAATTGCTCATGTCAAAACAAGGCCTTTATCGCGATGCTATCATCTTTCGCACGGTGTGAACTCACCTTTATTGTAGTTGAACTGGAAATAATTACTACAATTAAAAAATATAGTTCTACGTAATTTTATTACAACGAGCAACTAAATATCTGTACACATACACGAAAAAGTGACTTTTATTTTTCAAGTAAAAAAAAACATTTCCTTATACTTCAAAAAATTCAGTTCCCCTAAATACCAACTACGACGGAACAGATGGCGTTAGCGTAGCAGTTTTTTACTTTGACATTGAGACACCCTCCAGTCGTTACCGTCGACTTCTCGTCACCACGGCTGCTGCCATAGTTAAAAAGAATTTGTAAACAAGTAGTATATTTTGCGTTTTAAACCGTTAAAGTGTTTTATGTAAGTGTGTACTACTCGCGTAAACTACAGACATTATTTAATAAATTCATTTAAATATTTTTTTAATTTAAAAATTGTTCTGATAGTCATTCGTATGTTTATAAGTTAGAAAAATCAATTTTAACAAAATTTGTTCTTTTAATGTCCCACTGCGTCTCGCCTCGTATTAGGAACTCAGACCCACCACGCCGATCCAGGGTGGGTTAGTGGACTTATCGTGGCTCGAATTGCCGCTCAGCTATAAAAAAATAGATTAAACCATTTTAAGCGCATTTTGCATAACGCGACAAAACCGTATAATCGCAATAATTCCTACAATTGTTTAGCCCACAATGGCAAAAGGCTTTGTCCCATACATTAATGTAATTAAAAATTGCCGACATTATGACATGCTTTTTATTTCAATTCTCATGGACATTGATCGCGTTTGAATCGCGTCGAAGTGTCCATAAACGCCACTAATACTACTGTAATCATAGAGAAGGTTAGACAAGTATAGGCCTCACTTTAAGATAGGTACCCCAACTTAAAGCATCTAAACAAGATGCGCGGTCGACCTATTTTGGCTTTGGATATTCGGAAATCCCTAGATACCGATACGCGATTGAGCTTCACGGCTGTTTCTTCGTCTGTGGACGGTGGTTCGTAATCCGGACGGAATTTCTTTATTCCTACCACCCATCTGATCCAGCTTTCCAGACGAAGTCCAACATGTTGGAGAACAATTATTATAAATTGAAACTTGTTGATTCGGTGGGGATCGAAGCGACGACCCGTTGATGATAAGCCATATGTTGCTACCATTAGACGAGACAAATGTTTTACAAATGTTCGCCTACGAAAATGTGTTGTGGGAGAAGTTCTAAATACCGTTAACAAAAAAGTTTCGTATCTTTTAGACAAGTTCACACACTTACAATAACAGCCCTTTGTATTTTACCCGAAGAAAGCAATGTATCACTCAGGACTCGAACTCGGAACACCATAATGAATTCTACTTTTCTCTTACTTTATAAAACGAATGAAATGTACAGTTCTCTTAAACTTTTATTTGGAAAGCACAAGACCTCACCTACTTGATCGATCCATAAACGAACACAAAAATGTGTCTGCCCGAATAATGCGTAGGACTTTTAAATAATACTTTATAGTCATTATATATTTAAAAAATAGCAACTAATTATATTGTTTTCAATTTCAGATAAAATTCTAAAAATGAAGCCTTCCTGGTTACACAGCCTCCATTTAGTCGCGTTGGGAGTATTATTGTATATCATCGACCTTTCTTTAGCTGTAAGTATTTTTATATTATTACTTGGGTTACAATTCCGAACAAAAAGAGAGGTAGAAATTCCTTTTGCGTAAAGCACACAGAAATCGGTTAAAAACTTAAATATTTTCACATGATGGCACTATATAAATTACAAAGCGATACTGTCTGTAGTTGACGCCAGTAGTACACATTTAAATAAAACACTTTAACGGGTTAGAACGGATATATATTAGTAAACAGGGAGATTCCCCGCCACCACGTCTGTCGTGAAGCATCCGAAACGTCGGACCGTAGTTAAAATAATTTCCAAATAGATTTAACTAATATATATCGCGTAAAACGCGTTAAAGTGTTTTATTGAAATTGTAAAATGAGCGACCCGGGCGGGACTTGAACGGTAGCTTGGTCGGTGGTGGCCGGTTCAAACCTGGCGAATCTAAAATCAATTTTAATTCAGATAGAAATCGTTCCGTTGAGTAGCTACAAAGTAGCAGATAAACAAAAGCCCGTTTAAGTAATCTTGCGCAATTTCAAACGTATTTTATTGCTTTTAAATAAATACAAGTTATAAATGGCTTCATCCTAATGGCGTTTTAATAAGCTTAATTGAATAATGGCTGAGAAAACATTCTCAACTGTAACGATAATATAATTACATCATTCTCAGAGTAATGTCGGGTCGAACTTGAGTACTTAATTGCTAAAAAATATTTGCGTTCTTTTATCCCATAACTACTATTTTAAGTACATATAAATTACACAAGTAGTACACATTCAAATTAAACGATTTTAACGGTTTGAAATGAGAAATGTATCAGTTAACTTATTTACAATTTATATTAACTACACGGAGGGCCATCCACAGATGCCGCAAACCAAAGGAAACGTCGCGCGTCGGGCTGGAGTTAAAATAAGTTAACTAATATATTTCGCGTTTTAAATCGTTATAGAGTGTCTTATTTCGATATTATTATTTTGTTTATATATCTATAGTTATTGCACTGTTTATTTATCTAAAATTATTTTTACTTAGAAAAATATTAAAAGTTTATTTGCGCCGTGCTTTACTACAAAATTACTGTACCAATATTTAACTCTTGATCAATGTAGTTTGCGATTCGAATCCTGGTTGTCACAACTAATGATTCCTTGTGCTGAAAACACTTTTCAGTGAATCTCGATTGACATGAAAAGAAAATTTTATTTGAACAGCATTCGTTTAATTTATACCGTCTTTACAATTTCAGTCTTTAGACGGCTATGTACCCGGTGAAGATTACCCAGCCTTCGAAGAGGTGCCCAAAGGTTTGGCCTTCACGTGCGATGACAAAATCCCTGGTTACTACGCTGACCCAGAAACCCAGTGCCAGGTAAATGAAGACTCTGGAAATTAAGAGCTAATTTTTTCTAATACTATTTGAATTTCGTCGGACGCTTTGGTCTTGAAACTACAGCGAATACACTTTCAAAATTTTATAACACATCAGATTTAATTGACATGAATTAAGTAAGTCGTCTGTGCTTTTAATAGATGGTGCTAGCGTAGCTGACTTAACTTTGATATTAAGGGCAGTGTCCATCTTTAGTCCCCCTGCGACCACGATTGCTGTATCCGAAACTTACGAGCATAGTTTAAAAAAATAAATTTAACAAATTTATTTCGCGTTTTACACCGTTAAATGTGTTTTATTAAAATTACTGTTTTTAGGTTTGGCATTGGTGTGTTCCAAGTATTGGTGGTAACATCCAATACTCGTTCCTTTGCAACGCGGGGACTGTCTTCAATCAAAGAACGAGAGTGTGCGATTGGTTCTTTAATGTAAGTTATAAAGCGCCATGGTCCCAAGTAAAATGTAATATTGAGAAATCACAAACAGACGGGACTCGAACCAATGGCAGACGTACAATAAGAGTTGCCTGCCTCTCTTGGGACGATTTAGATATGTAAAGAAAACCTGTATAATTTGTATAAGAAGTCATGTGTAAAGTTAAAAGGTGCTAAATCTCTTCTCTCCGTGGGGCATGAGGCGAACACATTTTTATGGCCGTTTCACTGATAGATTTTATTTACAAACAAGTAGAAAATCTGCCGTCTGTTCCCTGCCTAACGTAAACAATTCGAAGCTAGAACTCCCGTGCTTAATGCCTAATTAATGGTAATATGAGATTTTTAGTTGTTATGTTTGGATGTTATAATCCTTTTTTTCTTTTAGGTGGACTGCCCCAGCGCACCAGCATTCTACGCGATAAATGAAGATCTCTACAAAGACGAAGCCGGCAACTTTATCGCGGGCAAAAAGTAGTATTTAGTAATCTACTTGTCGGGCAAATTTAATTAGATAAAATTATACTCCGCGCCACATCAAAAAACAACACACAATTAATCATTTTTTACTAATTTATAAAAATGTTTTAAAATTTTAATATTGCTTACATATTCCGTATGATGACATAACAACTATGACACGAGCGGGACTCGAACAGGCATTCAAAGCGTTCCGTACTAACTCTAACAAGTTGAATTAACACGGTAGCTCAATTGGTTAGAGCAAATACACGCTCACGTGTCTTATTTTTACATCTATATAGATTTTTGAACTTATAGAAAAGCTACCATATATAGACATGCTGGAACGCAGATTTTATTCTAGTTTAAAAATTATATTTTGATGTGAATGTTAGTTACCATCTTTAGACTTAAGTGTAGTCGTAAATTTTAAATTTTTAACACCTTATGAAATCGTAAAGCAAAATCTCTTTCATTACGAATTTCACTTCAGGAAATAACTATAATCAACATACTGTGTGATATATTACTAAAGAATAAGAAATATATATAATTCTATAGAAATACAGTATATGCTTTGTTGTTTAACATTTACTTTAGTTAAGGACATCAATCAATAAATTTTCAAATACACACATTAATCGGAGACAAATTAAAAATATGTATATATATCAAGTATGTGTTAATACATTTTTATATATTCTACATATGTATTTATATATTTCAGGTCACATAATATTAACAACATTTTCGACAAAAGACGATTGACTGCCCGTATGAACAGACACCATACTGTACTAACTGAAGTAACGACGATAGAACCAAATGACTTAACCCACTAACAAAAAGGATATGAGAAGAACTCAAACGCAAATCTACGGACTCTATACTAATATTATAAATACAAACGACTTTATTTAGCAAAATAATCGTCAGAAAGTTTCCTCAGCTATCGGATATAATAGTGTGGTCAATATATCTATACAATATACAATATATATCTATATCGCGAGTAGTACACATTTAAATAAAACGCTTTTCGCGGTTTAACGCGAAAAATATTAGTTATTTTTTACGTTTTATTGAATCTATGATCCACCGTTTCGGACGCTTTCCTCCATGACCACTACTGCGTTTTAAACCGTTTAAAGTGTTTTATTAAAAGGGAATGATCGTCATGTTATTCAAAGAACATTTTTGATATTTCATGAAGTAAGAGTACTCAAACAATCAACGGATTTATCAAGACTTAGTTCATTTCTAGTAAAGATGTACTTTGAAATCTGTACATGACTTTTTTACAGTATGTTATTTGTAATTTTAATTATGTTTAAGAATGATCTTAACAATTTATACAAATACGCCAAGTTAAGTAACTCAATGTAAATATTACCTTGTCAATTCATTTTTAATACGATAACATTATTATTAAAATGAGTGCAAATTACATAAGGCTTAATCAAACGCAAATAACACAGACATTGATCATTTATTTTTAAAATGACTGAAAGGACAGATCTAGGTGAGGATGGACAAAGATGACAGTGTGTCGTAACTCGTCATTGCGGCCAGCTATTTAAATGAAAGTTACCAGTGACCAAAAATGGCGATAATCACTTTGTATTTTTATAAATAAACTTTTATAATTTAGTGACCGTTTCATTCTTCTAACTCCTATATATATTCATGTTCAATTCTGTGATCGAGTTCGTTTAAAATGATCGGCTATCCGTGTCCATGCCGCGTGAAACTATTTGAATACATCGAACCCTGGACTTCTCCAACGCATTGTAAAGGCTGAAAGGAGAAATAAATGAAGCACCAAGGGCATTCAAAAGTTAATTAGTAAGACTAAAAATTCAGAACATATTTTTACGTTGATGCTAAGGTTTGAATTAAATTGCTCGAGATATTTTAGGTAGGTTGCTGGTTTCCGCCCGTATTATCGATTTCTTTCATGAATAGATTTTTTATCTGAAATGATCCGTTGTAATTTTAAGTGCTATTTATGAACTATTTTTTTTGTCATTGCGTTATCTTCCAACTAGGTAAACGACAGTTTTTTAATTTACATAATCGTAACCTCCCAACCCTTTAACATTTAAGTAAGATGCATTATTGTCTTATTTTGGCAGACATTCGGATATCCACGAACTGAAACCGCAAATACTGATGGTTCGAAGACAGAATTGATTTATCCAACAAATATTTCTTGTATGAAGAATCAGGAAAAGGCACTAGACTGGACGGCATTAGTTTCTCGTCAAAAGGGCTTCCCTAAAGTCCTTAATTAGATAGAAACAATTAATGTACTTAGCCATCCTTTAATCGTTTTATGATACACGCGAAACGGCATCGTATCAGTGTCCCGTTCAGTAAATGAGAATGCGTAAGTAAAGCAATCTTTAAAATTTAAAACGATAATTGCTAATTACATTACACTTATTGGTTCACCGTATGTTCATAATCTTCGGGTCTTGGGTTTCGTCTCCCACCGGGTTTTCTTTTACATCAATATACATTTAAATAAAACAATTTTAACGGATTAAAACGCGAAATATATTAGTTGACTTAGTTTTAATTTGCCTAAAATATATAAAACTAAGTTAACTAATATACATATAGTGTTTAAAACGTGTTTTATTTAAAAGTTTACTACTCGCGTATATTATATACTAAATATAAGTATACAATACTAAAGTATGTGTGTATTACAACAAAGAATTAAAAATTAGTTAAATATTTGCCGTATAACACAATTGCAACGACCAATTGCAACAATATTTAGTGCCTGGCATTTCTAATTAGCAAATTTGAGATGCGAATGAAAAATGATATATTTTAATGCAGGAGTGAATAAATTAATGTCTTAGAGATGGGTTAGTTCTATTAATTTTTCAGATAGGCTTTTATGTTAGTGTTTAGATTATTCCATCAAAGTTTGGCGTAGTTCGTTTGGTAGCAAAATATGGCCAACAATAAACCAGTCGGACTTCGTTTGGAAATTTGGATTAGATTGGAATTGTTGTATAAATAAAAAAGTTTGATCACATTTCGGTCTCAGTTCATGGGTTTTTTAAAAACGCTAAGCCAAACCTCAGGGGATTTCGTTAAGATGTTATATGACTGGGAATTTTTAAGCGCGGTTAAAATTTAATTAGTATATTTAAATTCCCTTCAATTAATAGAATAACGTTCTACCTCTACACGCAAATGATGCTATACTTTTAACTAGTTAGTAGCGTTACCAAACACCCAACATCGAGAACCAAGTTAGTGATTGTGTGACACGGCGCGCGGTGCACGTCTCTCGTGCGACCAAAAAGAAAAAAAAATAAATTATTGTGTTCACTACATCGGCGAAATGCGTTATTCAAACGGTATTCAAATTACTCTAATTTGATTCAAACAATGTCTGCCACCTCGGAGGTTGCGTAACGGTTTTGTAACTTTTTTCGGTAATGCTAAGTATTATGGAACCTGCTTTTCCATTCGGGTCACTTATTGTCGTGTCCGAAGCGCTTGCGATATTGGTAAGAATTATTGCAGTGGTATTAAATTCACAAAAAAATTTCTATATCTGTTTATAAGAACATTATAAAAAATCATAGCTATATAAAGGTTTTAATATTATTAAAAAACGTTTACAATTAAATAATTAAATCTTTCTAAGAATTTTACTTTATTTGTAATAAAAAATAAGTTAACAAATATAAATTGTACCTTATTCATTCTTCAAATTGTAGTTCGACCTTTTTCGACCGAATTCGGGTCAAGAATACCTGAAAACTTGTTTATTAAGAATCTATTTTAACTCATTACTCATCAATTTATTTATGTTTTTATTTGATTAGAATTAATGCACTTAAGAGGTATTTAATAGTTTAGGTGCCATCCTAAAATGAATCTTTGATAAATGTTAAAATTTTCACTATTATTCGATAAGTTTTCTATTTATAAAGATAAATCAAATCCGAATATTCGGTTTCGAATAAAACCGCTTTAATTGAGAAAATCTAATGGTGTTTCTTGACGAAGCCCGTCAAAGTTATCTTTTACATTTAGTACCAAGTTACCAGAAGTCAATAAGTAGCCAACAGTTCAAAGTAACCTTGGCTCACAAGTTTCTTGATTGCACAAGCAGGCTTTATGTAATGAGACAAGTTTACCTCTCGTCCTTAGAAAGGCTTCACAAAAGTTTTAAATAAAACATTTAAAAAGGTACAAGAGGATATAAGAAGTAGTGAAAAATACTTGTGATCAAAACATTATTAATTTTAAACAGTGAACTAACAAAAATACTTCGCACGTAACACTTTGGTCCAAGTATGTCCTAAAATTCCTTCCATCTTCTTTCCAACAAAAATCGGATAATCAAATTCGGCAAAATTATACACAAACAAACATTTATTATAAAGAGTAATGTTTAAATCGCATTTAAACCCCGTTTTGAAGTTGGTTAAAAATTTGAATAAAAGGGTTATATTTTAAAGATAATTGTTGTGACACTTCCTAAAAAACAAAATAAATTATAACCTTGTTAGTTTTGAAAAGATTATTTAAAAACTCACAACTAAAATAAATATCGACCTAAAACTTAGTACGATTCAAGCTAATAACAATGCAAGTACTGTCTGTAGTTTACGCGAGTAGTACACGTTTAAATGAAACACTAACGGTTTTAAACGCGATATATACTAGTGCATATACATTAATTAAAGAGCAGCCGGCCGCTGAAAAGCATCCGAAACGTCGGGCCGTAGTTAAAATCATTTTTAAATAAGTTTATTTAATATATATTGCGTTTTAAACCATTACAGTGTTTTATTTAAATAATAACAATGCATTTTTACCATAGTACAATAGAAAGTATAAGATAATATCTAGCATATTGCACGCTTCGAGCCTTCCACATAATTATACTACTTATTATGTACCGTACTTGAATATGTAAAGAATGTCATTGCAAGGTTACAACAATCACTTTTCATATCCTGGTATCGTAATTTAAGTCTC